TGCTTAACTTTTTTCCAGGTGTATATATACAAGATTTTCAATGGTCCCATAGGTAGAATTTAATTCTAAAAAAAAAGGAAAAAAGCACTTCAGTGTCAATGAGAAGATTTATTTATAATTTACACTACATGTTGTTTCCCTTTATGAGTGCAAAGTAATTTTCATGATAAGATTCAAAATACTTTTCTTCATCTGAAAATTTTCAGATATCATTTGCATAACCCCTAAAACCACCTAATATCAAATGTTTTTTCAGAAAACTTTCTATTTTATCTGTTATTTTTTTACCTTAACTCTAACTCTATAGGAGATCACTTGATTTGACTGACATCATAACCACCATAAAAAATGAAGAAATAATTATAAATTCCCTATCTTTTTCCTGGAATGACTGCAAATTGTAACAGAAAACAACAATTGTTTATCCTAAGTAGCTTAAAGCTTGAAACAGTATACTTCCATCTATATTTAATATTTATTACCCTTTGAACCATGTCTAACTATTATTCAAGCCATATAAATTGCAAAGCATGTAGCAAATGTGCAGCTCACATTATAGTATCAAATTACATAATGCACAGACTGCATTTATTATCATTATTATCATTAATAGTATCATTTATTTTACTTTAGCTAGCTTAAAAAGCTAATTTTTACATTTTAGTTTCTTTTGTATTAATAAATAAAGAATACACAGGAAAAACAAGAAATAAAGTACTTACCTGGGTTTTTTTTTCCTCTCAACTATCGATGAAACTTAGCCCTACTTTTTATACAGATTGTACTACTGAATTAAATAATTTCTGTTTAATTAAGTAATTCATCAAAGAATATAGAATAATAGCATGCAAAAAGGAAACAACAATGTTCTATAACTATCACAATTTTTCTGGCTTTCTAACTGTGCAACAACATCCTCTACAAATTCAGCTAAGCTCATCAATGTTTCCCGTGGGAATAAAGTTTGAACTGGAAGTAAAATAGACAAATCTCTGTACAGACAACAATCTAATATAATACATAATTTCATAGAGAAAAACTTTGTTTTTTTACTGGTTATAAATAATATAGTCTTAAATGTCAAGAGAGAACTATTGGAAAGTTCTGAAAGAGAGGATGTGCATGGCAAAAGGGGTCTGATTTTCTATTTTATTGCTCTGTAACTAAATAATATTGAAGGATATGTAAATTATTTTTTGCCTAATGATGAAAACATTATGAGTAACTTGCATTAAATTTCATACTCCTCAGAGGGGTGGTAAAAAAATTAGAGAAGAGGGAAGACACAGATAACAAACATCTCATACAAGGGGAGATTCAGAATTGTTTTAAAATATTTCCTTAAAAAATTAAGAACTTAAAACTTTAATACTAAACTTTGATTTATTATCTATATTCTGATGCAGAGTTTATTCATATACATTGATAATAAAGTAGTTTAATTAAATTTTGAATGTAACTCTGAAAGGTTGTGACATGCATTTTTGATGAAAGGTGAAAGGGTTACTCATGTGATATTTTCACATGGCTTTATTTTCATGCAATTTATTGTCACTGAAGAAACATGTTAGAAGTTGATTGTGGACAGCTGTGTACAAACTGTATGCTATTTAGTTTGTTACAGTACAAAGCTTGAAGCAATATTACGTAACTGGGGAGTCAAATCTCATGCGCCCCAACAAAATATTGTGCATATGGGACCCAGGAGTTCAGGTTAACTAGAATTCTGATACACACACATAATACAAAATACATCCTACAATATGTGCATGTAGTATGCTATTGTATTGATATAATACTGTTATATGATTGCTTTAATGTCATCCTCAGTCATTAGATACTGGGTTTTGGACATGGCACTTTTTGGTGCATCCAAACTCCTAGCTCATCAAAAAATTCATTATTTTTATTCTTGTATCTTCTTTCTTTTGTTATCCATTTGTTATCTGTTGTATGCAAGCATTATTTTGGGGGCACTTAGCAACTACTTGAAAACAGGCTTTTTACTGATGATTTCTCTATAGATATATTTTGGAAGTATTTTAATTTTTATCTTTTTTATCTCATTCTGTAGAAATAGTCATAAAGTAGCTAGTAAAGTCATTAGTTACATCATAAGAGGTTGCATTTTTGTCACTGCTGAAACTTCTCTCATTTGAACCAGCAGCATTAGGTACACTGTTGTTTGATTAAAGTTCTTCTACTAGTTTTATTTGAATGCAGGTCATTGTTTGCTGAATGATGAGAATCATTAATTATATCTTTTCACTTAAATTTGGATCACTCATTTCAATAGCAACTGAATGATGTGAAACATGGACTTCATCTTTTTTCACTCATGTTGCTTTCACAAAAGCTTTTCTTAGCTACATATGCTAGTAAGATATCCATCTTCTGCTGCTTGAAATGGAATATAATTAAGAAATGTAGTAATGTTTTTAAACTTTTACATGGAATTTAGATGAACATTTAACATTTTTTGATTCTATAATAGGAAACTAATAATAATCAGTGAACATGTAAAAGTGCCTATATGCAATTCCTGGATAACAAGTACCTCTTGGCTTTGTTATTCTACTTTGTATGAAAACAAGTACTTCATATATATATATATATATGGAGTTTTAATAAATGTTTTCATTAATAATGCTATGAGAAATTTCTTCCATGGTCACACAATATTCAATCACTAGCTTTGTTGATACATGTACAGTTTTATTATTGCTAATGGAAGGGTAGAATCTACAAAATATATTTGTAATGATAGCTTGATTTTCTTTTCATGCACGTTCTTCATACCGATAGTAGAAATTTCTTCCATCTTAATGTACAGTATATTTCATAAATGCAGCAGACGTAATTTCTTACCCTTTACTTAATTAATAACTGGAACAATAGAGGACACTAAATTTGAAATAAAGGTAGATTGTTAACACTTTTTTCATTTTTTGTTCTGTGTAGGATCTTCTTTTTGTTTTCAACTGCATTCACTGATGCAAAATCTAGTAGCACAAATCACATTATGTTATTTTATATATATATACATATAATTTTAGGACAACAAGAAACTTGCTGGTTCATCTAGGCTGTGCCATCCACCAAACTAAACTTAAAATAAAACACTGAAAGCCTGCCTTTATCATACAAATATTTATCAAGCCTTCCCTTAAACTCCCTAAAATCAATTGTATCCATCTCATCTGAAGGTATCCCATTCTAAAGCTCAGCCACCAGGAAAATAAAGGTGTTCTGGCTGAATATGATTCCTAACCTCCCAAAATTTATATTTGTGTCCCCTAGTCCTACCATTCTCACCATTAAGTATGAAAAATGATGATTCATCAACACTGTCAGTTCCCTTAAGAATCTTAAAAATTTCAATCAGATCCCCTCTAACTTGTGTTCAGTATAGAAAACAGTGGTTTACTGTGATTTTATTTCACAATCAAATGTAGTAGAACTTCAGCTCCATGTAAAATATATAGACCAGACCTGTCAACTGTAATCCACATTTAACACTTTTTGGCATCAATGCATTGTTGGTTTAAACTTGTACTTAAGAATTTGCAATACTTTTATTGCAATTAAGTTTCTAAAAAAGAGATTTATTGAAATTCTTGCTTTGTAAAATTAATGCTGAAAACTTCTACAGTAGCTTACTGTCACATTTAACAAACCTTTTAAATGTATATTCTTCATGTTGTTTATTTTCCTGATATAGAAAAAATATTATAAAGTTATGGAAATAAATTACTAATCAAAATATTTAACTGCCCAAACTCACACCCATTTTCTTTAAGCTTCTATTTTAATAGAATTCTAATAAATCAGAGAACATTTTACGACCAATGATTTGAAAATTTTCATACCTATATCCCCAAAGCTGGACATTTTAATTGTAAGTCTTTACTTGAAATTAACTATCATTTGTCCAGTTATATCTTATTAGGTTTTCTCTATCATCTCCACATTCTAAGCTCTAATTAAAGGTTACTGTCTCCAATTCGTATTTAATCTCATTTTTCCAGATTGGTCTCTAATCTTACTTGTACTATACAGATTTATCAAAGGTCGGATAAGGGGTGTATATTTATCAATCAATATAATTTTAAGGCTTACACTTATTACTGTAAAACGAACTTGCAAGTTTGCCTTTTTTGTAATAATGCATTTACAGGCATTTCATGTCCAAACATAGAAGAAGGTCAATGTAAGAAATTAAATTAATGTGAAAAAAATTTATTGCTTTTTGTAAGTGTGAAAAAATAACAAAAAATAATATTAGTATCAAAATATTTAAACACCATGTTATACCAAGCATTTGCCTGGAAAGACTGACATTTGTGCCTTGTGTTTAACCCAAAACACAAATTTTTTGCAACACTTAAAACTAACAGATGTGAAAAGAAGGAAAAAAATGTGACCTTTTTTTCTTAATACCAAACATGCTGACTTCTTTCTGCTCATACCATTTTGTAAATCTGGGTTTCATTATAGGTGAGAAAATCTCAGTAAAAATGATATAGACATTTAAACCTTGAAAAAGTATTATTAATTATTATTTTTAGATGATTTGGGATGAATCAATACTGTCATGCTTCTGTCTTCATCAAATCATGATGTGACATTGTCACAATATCACTATCACTGTATCAGCACAGATAATCCTTATAAATGTAGTTTGTAAAAATTTTAAGTCTTAAAACTAAAACACACTAAGCATGAACTTTATACTTGATATAATCATTATGAGTCAACAAAACTTGAATTTATATATTTATCTACATATATAAAAGCAACATTATATGTTTGTCTGTCCACTAACACAAGTAACATCAAGGAGCAAACTTCCCACCAGGTTTCCCATAAAAATTAATTTTTGGCTTTTAATTAAGTTTCCTTGTTTGTGTCATGCTCATTTTGGTAATAATAAACACTATACATTATCGCTTAGCAACAAAACTATCACAATATTGTTGTTAGGCTAACAATAATGTTTATGTTGAATGCATAATGTACATGTTAATTTGTGGTTTATTTTTATTTTCTCTATTTTAATAACTTCGGTGATATAAAAGCAAACAGTTTCATTAAGAAACTTCTTAAGTTAGTGTTGAAAAGTTTCCAATCAATCAATCAAACAACTACATTACTATTCCAGACAAATGTGATAACTTAGTTAAGAATATTTGTCATTAATATTTGTCAAATAATCAAAATTATTAATGGTTGTGCAAAAGAGCAGTTCTTGCACCTCAAAATGATACTATTCATGACATAAATGATCCATTACTGCAAAAGGTTCCCATACAGAAATTCACCTACAGCTCAAATGTCAGTGTTACAGTTACAGTTGATACTATAAATTACTTAACTGAATACCTAAATTATCTTGAACCACTAGGGATGCCAGGTTACACACTAAAATTAAAAGTTGGTTCATCAATAACGTTGTTGAGAAATCTTGATCTTTCAAAATTATGTAATGGCACAAGTTTAGTTGCTAAGACTTTACTGCCACATGTTATTGAAGCAACTAGTCATGCCAAAAGTGAAGACGTTTTCATTCCAAGAATTCCTTTGCTACTAAGTGATTACTCCTTTCGATTTAGAAACCTCCAATTCCTAGTGACAATTTGTTTTGCAATGTCCATTAATAATGCAAGGTTGCTGGAATGTTCCTAAAGCAGCCTTGCTTTCACATCGTCAAGTCTATGTTGGATGCTCAAGGGTTGAGTATCATCAAAACCTGTTTATATTGTCAGAAGAGGGAACAATGGCCAATGTCACGTGGTATATCAAAAATTTTAATTTATATCGTATAATTTTTGTTTTAAAAATAAAAGGTTTAGATAAAAATTAAAATGTTATGAAAATTGAATTTTTTAAATACATTTTCTTAAAAGTAATTTCCTTTTGTTTCTAAATAACTATTTCAAGTAATTGGGACACCTGTGCAAAGAACGGATAATTCAGCTAGTGTGTATATATGTATATGTATATATATATATATATATATATATATATTACACACGTATATACACTGTGTATGGTACACTAAACAAATCCTCCTAGCATCTGAATCAAGACAATAAATAATGTCGTCGCACTACCTCTGGCCCTGTAGTATAGTGATACTAATAGCAATAGTACTAGTAACAGTACTCAATACTACTAGTAGTACTGATACTGAGTGATAGTACGGACCATTTAAAGATTTATGGTAAAATTGGTTAGCAAAACTAAAACAACAGACCCTTAATTAGTCTTAGGTCTATATAATTATAAATGTTCAAAAAGAGTTCGTGCACACGTTCTTCACATCTGTTAAACTAGAATATTTTAGGTTTAACAATAAATTTGCAAATTACATGATAATCGCAAAAAGATTTTCAGTACCTGGTGTCTTTCCTTGTGTAACTTTTGTCTTGATTTAATAGCATTTCTGAAAGACGACATTGTAAATTGTTCCAATTCTAGTATTCGTATATTAAAACTTGTACCTACAGTTGAATTGAGCACCCCCTAGTAACCATTAAAAGTAACTTACCTAGTTTTGTCAATATATTAATTTTGATTTAAATCCGACATTTTTCCATGTTTATAACTCTAAATATTCTTGATGAATCAGAAAAATATATATCGAACTGTTGTTTATTCTTTTTTAAATATATCTACTTAAACATTCCTTTTGTACCATCATTTATATAATCCTGTATCTCAAAATGTTGATGCACAAACATAATCCACGGAAAGCGACAAAAAGAAAACGTTATGCGTTTAATCAACTTGCTTATTTTCTCGTTCTTGTATATTTTTACTGTATTTTATTTTAAAATGATCATGCCTTACTTTCGAATTTAATGAGCAAAAATTATAATTCTGGTCTCACCCCTAATCACATAATCTCAGTGCACTTATGTTGAAAGTCCGTTTCTAACTTTAATTGTTTGTTTGTTTGGAGTTAAGCACAAAGCTACACAATGGGCTATCTGTGCTCTGCCCACCACGGGTATCGAAACCCGGTTTCTAGCGTTGTAAGTTTGCAGACATATCGCTGTGCCACTGGAGGCAGTTCTGTTTCATTTAGTGCTGAAAATAAAAGTTATCATCAAAGATGAATGTATCCATTTATTGAAAACTTTGAACTTGAATGTTTGTTTAATGATGCTAATATCTAAATCCCGACATTGCCCTTTGTTTTTGATAACGAGCTTTTTTTTTTAGAGTGAGCTCCGTTTAATAAATTTATCCGGCCGTGTCTAGAAAACATTGGTAATTAGGTATAAGAATGTCTTCAATAGATGCGTCACCAGGATTGGCATACTCCGATTCTATTTGACATTGGCCCGAATCCCTAGTTGGTGTTTTGAAAAATCAGACTAGAAAACTCTAGTATATACTGAAACGCCGAAAATTCCCGCGCCTATGGGCCCTATTTCCGAAACTTTTAAGTATCTGGCGACATCTCTGATCATCAATTTATCTAGAAGCACGATAGACGTGTAAAGCTTTATTATAGTCTTTTTTACTAAGATTTGTAATGTATGAAAATTCCAGCTCGAATAAATATACATCTGCAACTTGTGGGCTAAAATTATGAGACCGTTGCTTTGCACAAAGCACTTAACTTTGTTTTCTTGCTATCATAGAATTTATCAACGTTTGTTTGTGGAATATTGTTCCAAATGTCCTGTATTACTCCCCACAATACACCATTTGACCTAGTATTTTATAAGCCTATACAGCCTCAAAATTATTCATATTGAGACTTTGTGTAGACCAAGCCATGGTTGTGTGTATTACATCAACCTCTTACAGCCAAGATATCGTTTCACTGCATTTTCTGTGCATTTTGTGTCAGTTTCTCACCAGATGATGATTCTTCACCTGTTATTTCACGTTACTGGGAGAATGGCATGACGGATCTGAAATTGCATGCCCCTGCCAACAGTCAGAATTCCATCAGTTTTGCGCGGATCACTGACTTTATTGTAGATGTTATGTATTGACCATAATACTGTTCTTCTTTCTGTCATTGAACAAATTGCTATTGATTGTTGCTGAACAACTCAAACTGAGATTCACCATTAAATAGCCCATTCTCATCAGCTAATTTCGAGCAGCTGCATGTCCATCGAGACCAATGTACCTAATTCTTTTTGAGGTTACATTCATAACTGGATTCACAGCAAATATGTTGGCAAGATATGTCATTGACTGTCGTCTATCTCGTAAAAGAACATATCCTGAAATACTTAACATCACTGTTGGAGAGTTTTGGTTTTCTATCTCGACAGCTTCTATTATTAACAACGTCAGTTTCATGTACCCTTTTCAGGATCTTGAATCTAATACATACGGAGACGTGGAATCTTGTCGCAATTTTTCGCATGGTGTATCCTTGACCGGCCAAAACGCATGCCATGTGGTATTTTAGTCCTAAGAGCTATTCCTAGATTCACCCTACTGATATGTTTATAAGCTTTATACTAGTGTGGTACTTTATGATTGGTTGTAGAACAATCAATCACAATACAAAATATCAATACGTAGCTGTACTATTCTGCAGTTCATATTCGCAAAACTAAAAAAGAAGTGTCATTTCCTTACTATTTAACCCTTATGCCCTTTTTTCTCACCATTTACAAAATTATTTGCAGAATAAGTATTCTAATTAGGTTTTATGCCTTTGGTATATTTCTTTGTAATAATGCAGTAGTATATTGATTTACTGTAAAAATCAAACAATAAATTAAATATATTATTGCACTGGTTCAAAGAAATATACCAAAGGCATAAAAACAATTAAAATACTAGTTACTTTGTTTACTCGTAGCCTATTGCTCAGTAGCTTTATAGACATCAACAGTTTTTGCATTTTCTTGAAACTTCAATAAGGCGGTCACTTTACAATGGCTTCAAAATAGCTTTTGTCTATATGCTTAATATAAAAATTACAGGGATATTTGAAAAAATAACATTTGGTCAAAATATACATAAGTCAAAGGTAATACTTAAATGTGCTGAATATATAAGTATGTTACCCTATAAGATACGTCTTACTCACAACTTGTTTGCTTGTATATTTGTTTTTTAAGCACAAAGCTACACAACAGGCTATATGTGACGTGGTCACAACGAGTATCGAAACCCGGTTTGTAGCAGTGTGAGTCCTCAGACTTGCCGCTGAGCTACTAGAGGATGGAGGCCTTACTCACAACGATAAAAATGGATGTCTTACAGTAAATTTTAGTTTGTACTTTTTGTTTTTCTGTACTGTAATAAGAAGAGTAGGCCCTTGTTCAAGATGTTTATGCTCAGATTAAGAAATAACATTTGTTAACATTTCAATAACAAGCATGAATGTACATTAAGTTTGTAGAGTTTTGATAACTATTTTAGTCCGCTTCTCCAGGAACTGCAGTGGCGTCAAAAAGGGAACAAAGTTGGTTAAAAAAGCGTAGGCTTCATAACTCATTTCAGTACATTGGCGATTTATTGTTTGATGAGCATGCAAAGCTTGTGGTGTGTAAAGGCAACTCTAAAAGAATGAGAAAACAGCAAGTTCTACCTAATTACTCTCCATGTCAGATTACGTTTGTTGAATAATTCCTGCCTCATTACGAACTTAGAACGGAAGACTAGATGACAAAGAACATGCCTTCTCATGTCTTACGTTAGCAAACTAACATAGTCTTGTGTGTGGCTTTCGAGGCTAAGCGTAAATTCACAAACCGTGCTTTCCTTGATGTGTGACATAAAACAGGCCGAGCAGAAAGCATGGAACATCCTTACTCGTTAAAGTCGGATTTGTCCGTTCCTGTTCGTATGGACTTTGTAAAAATACTTGTAAACAAATAGTTTGATTAGATCATTTTCTCTGCTTCATAAGTCCTCTTGAGCAGATTAGGCTTAATACCCACAAAACTGAAGTTTTTCCTTAAGCTTACAAATTTAAAATATATGTTGTGAGCATTCTTTCAAGGTAAATGTTTATACATGCATATAAAAACGGCTCTGTCGACGACAGCATATCATACACTTAGAATTATTAAATAATACGGCTTATTTCCTGAAACAACTGATTAATTAGTACCTAATGATAACGGAGTAATTTTTCATGTGAAATTGTTTGTTTTTGAATTTCTCGCAAAGCTACACGAGGGCTATCTGAGCTAGCCGTCCCTAATTTAGCAGTGTAAGACTAGAGGGAAGGCAGCTAGTCATCACCACCCACCGCCAACTCTTGGGCTACTCTTTTACCAACGAATAGTGGGATTGACCGTCACTTTATAACGCCCCCACGGCTGAAAGGGCGAGTATGTTTGGTGTGACAGGGATTCGAACCCGCGACCCTCAGATTGCGAGTCGAGTGCCTTAACCATCTGGCCATGCCGGGCTCCCATCGTATGAAATAGAGGATTTTTTTTATGATATACAACCACAATTTACATTAAATATTTTCTACAGTTATAGTTCACCTTAATCAAACGTTGACTCTGATGACGCTACTTTGTTGTTTGATACAAAAAATATACATAGAAATAATTTTCTATAATTATCGTATTATCATAACTATTTATTCTAAGTAGCTGCCTTGCCATTTTTATCTTCTCACAAAGATCCGCAAGGGCTATCAATACTTAGCCGTCCCTAATTTTGAACTAATAACATTTATTTATTTGTAGTTAAGCATAAAGCTTACATAATGTATTTCTGTGCTGTGACCACCTCGAGTATCGAAATGCAGTTCTTAACGGTGTGAGCTCTTAGAGTTACCGTTGAACCACTGGGGGTATTAGGTGATGAACTAGAGGGGATTGTAAAATAATCTTTGGTTACATCTGCCAATTCACAGTGTTTATCATCAGTGCGCAATCGCAAACGCCATATAGGCCATGGGTTCCCAAAATTTCTTAGTATAGGGCCCCACATAGAACATTTCGAATCCTGTCTGAGATCCTCGTCTAATGAACCTATATATACAAGGTATCTTAACAGTATTGTGCATTTTGTGTACTTACTATATGCCCCTATACTTTCTAGCGGCCCCCAGTTTGGGAATCCCTGACATAGTACATTGAATATAAAAGTTTTCATGCTGTAATTATCACGTGGTCTAAATTCTGTTAATTAAAATCCTTGGTACTTTTCCTGTGGCTGTAAAATGAAGAAAAAATTCAGACTGTTTCTAAGTATATAGTTAAGCAATTTTGAAAATGGCCACTTCTGGTAACAAAAATAGGTTAGTTCAATTTAAAATCTTTGACATGAGATAACAGTTAGCCATAGTTAAATAAAAGGGACATTAAACAATAAAATGTTGCTCCGTGTGTCAGCGTTAACTTTACAGACTTATAACAACAAAATCCACGGCAGACAGATCACAGATAGCCCATTGTATAACTTTACGCTAAACAACAAGAAATAATAATACATTTGTAAGGTTATTGATTCTCTACTTTGGTGATTTTTGTCAGAATTAAGTTTTAGAATTATTGTTATAGATGT